TGTCTCGCTTCCGTTGCCCGTCGTCTTGTTCAAATCACCCCCGTTCTACCCTGCCCTGTCCTGTCCGGTCCGCCACTCAGCGTGCCTGGCCCGCCCTCCCGCTTCCCATTGAGCCCCTTCTCTCCCTCTCTTCTTCTCTTCACCTTTCTATCCTGGTCCCGGCATGGCACTTGCCGGCCGAGGGTCCTCCTCTTCTTCGTGGGCGTGCGGGCGTCGTCGTCGTCGCCATCGCCCGCCGTCGATCGACAAGGCATCATCATGATCGCGGCATGAATACGCAACGGCTCCGGCTGATGGACGCTGGGGACAGGGTTGAAAAGCTGCCCGCCAACAGCCCTCCCTCGCTTTCGCTCAGGCTCGTTCCTGGCTGTTTGGCTGGCTGGCTGGCTGGGCCGTTGAAGCTTACCCTCCCGCTCGTCGTCCAGCATACATACTCTGGTCCGTCGGTTTGGCTTGACCACTGACGACACATGCTCCCTGCGAAGCCACTCACTCGATGGCTTCGACTGACGGAGAGTTATTTCGTCGGCTGCGGCGGCCAAGTCTCAAATCAGACGACTCTGCTCCGCTGCGTCGTGCTCGGAAATTGCCACTGTTAGCTGCTAGCTGCTAGTTTGGGCATCGACACTAGTCTGTCTAGTTTTTGTCTCACTGTATAATTGATTGAGCGCGTTGAATAGAGTTTATCGATTTGCTTTGACATGAGTAGGCATGTCGGTGGGTAGGTGGGTAAGTGATTGTGTGGGCGTGGCCGATATGAGAGATTTGCTTTGTGTGTTTGGGTTTGGCTTGCTTGCTTCTTGTCGATTGCGTTCGTGGGGTTTCTATCTCGTTGCTTTTTCGATTTCAGTCGCCCTATCAAAACGCTTGGATGGTTTAGGTTTGTCGAGGGAGCGTTTGGACTGTGGGCAGTGGCTGGCGAGTGAATCTGCCCCTGGCAAAAGCAAGGCACAGGAACGGAAGTTATTGTCTTGGTTTTCTGTCTGCCTGTTCTTCGTTCACTGCTTCCGCACTCCTGGTTTCTCTTGGCGCGAGAATCAGGGGCGTCAGGGGTTGCGTCGTTGGACATCAAAGGCTCTCTTCGAGGTTGGATGATGTTGATGAACAGCAGCAGGGAATGGCATGGTTGGTAGAAAGGATCGAATAGCGGTGGAACCGTGGCAGAAAGAAATGCATTGCTAGGAACACGCCGGCCGCTGGCACCCAAAAAGTGCGTCGGTCACTTAGGGGACTCCAAAGCAGTGATTACGACTGCATATTGTTCGAGACCAAGTAGATCTTTGGCACATGGTGTGATGTACCCGAACAGTCGCCCTCTGGTCAGAGAAGTCGAGGGGTTGGCGTGTTTTTTAATACTTGCTCCCCATAGCTTGACTGTGCACGAGAAGAATCTCTGACTGGGCCAAGGGGGTACACGTGGTGCGCGCTGGTCACGCTGGACTTACGGAGTCGCGTGCTTCTGCCAGCAGAGGGATGGTTTGGAGTATAAAAGAGACGTCGACCGTGACCCGTCTTGTTCCTTCGACTTTTACAGCAACCTGTTGCCACTACTTCAAGCTGTGTGCCGAGTCGGCGACTGCACCAACTTGCAATCATCTGGAACAGTTGTGTCGCCGCTTTGGCGAAGAAGACGTTTGACACTGTTCCTTTGCTTTTGGGTTTGCGTCTCCCATTTTCATTTGCGGCTTCTGGCGGTGTCTCAGGGGCAAGCTTTCAACAGTTGGCTGTAATGATGGAGATCCTCATTGTAGGAGAAATGACTTTTAGCATAGTGGTGATATGGTATCTCAACTCCTTCCTCTGCACTTCCATGACTGCGTCCAAGGACAGAGCAAAGAGAAACAAAACATACTCGAGGTCCTGGACATGAACACCCGACCGAAAGCAGAAGAGTGAGTATGAGCTCGACGGCGCCCCAAAGTCATTGGCCGCTAATGCTGCTTTCTCTTAGGGGGAGAAAGGCATGCCGCAGCTTGAATGATCAAACATTAGAGAGTTGGTTGTTTTTATAGTCGTTGGATCGTCGCCAGCAAGTGTGGACGTCATGTGTCAGTTCAGGGGTAAGGCAAATCAGGGGCATGTGCCTAGTTGGTCAGCCAGTCGACACGCAACACATGTCATTTTGTCCCTGTGACTCTGTCCTCATACGCATGACTATGTTCCGGCAACAGCCTAGGGGAGCTCTTGTGGGTATAAAAGCAACTCTTCGGTGGTCAGTCTGCGACCAAAAAGCTGTGGATGTGGGCTTCTCCATCCCAGGGCTCAACTTTCTGGACATACTAGACTGTGTTGGCACGCGTTCAGCGGCATTTCACACTTGTTTTCCGTCGCCCGAATTGACGAAATGGTCGTGGTATTGAGAAAAAACTTGGAGTGAAGAGTTTACGTCAAACTGCAGGATGTGATGAGCAATGACTGCAACTAAAAGTGATGGAGAAAGTCAGCAAGAAGCAATGATGCTGTGGAATCCTCAATCTTCTTTGGGACTTGAACTACCGGAGCTGCCAGAGCAAACAAACAAGAAAGTAAGGTGTTACTTGCGAAGCTGCAAGCAAAGAGTCGGCACGTATCATGGTGCGTGCGCTACAGGGTCCCTTCGCAGAGTTGAAGGTAGCTTGCGCAGCTTGAAGCTCCAAGGCCTTGGAAGCGCGTGCTTTTATACTTGAATCTCGCAAGGAAGTCACCTGAGAGGGGACTGGTTAGCATGAGGAACCTAGATGTGGGATCACGAGGTCAGAGCGCTCGAGTTTGGTATAAAAGATGTCGCTGGTGCTCCTCCCTGCTCCACTCATCGAGTCTTCCGAAGGCCTGTCTCGTACATTGAGCAGCTCATCAACGATACTCCAGTAACAAATACCATCGTCACAGACCACTCTTTGGGTTCTTTGGTTCTCGCACCACTTGTTTTGTCCCTTGCAAACTGAAACTGAGATTCTGGATTCTTCAGGATTGCTTGATGTACCTCGTCGACATCATCAAGTGATGATGAACGACTCAATCAATATTTAAAGCATTGTTTGAAGTAGATTTAGATTGAGATAGTCGCTCGAGTGAAGCAAAGGAAAGTTGACGTTTGGCGTTCAGGGGTCCAGGCAGAGAGACCACAGAGCAGTCGGTTCAAGCTCGCTAACCATTTTTCAGCCAACTCTGGACCTTGCAGAATGAGTCTCGGACCTGATAATGAGTGCGATTTTATACCCAAGCCTTTGCCGGTATCGGTCAAAAAAAGGAGCTTCTGACCGCTGGCGGAAAGGGGAAAGACCGGATTATCATCTTCAGCTACCCACATCTCTGCCAATGACTTGTTCCACGTGGTAGCCGGCTGTTCCTTCCTCTGGGATGAGCACGAGATCATGGCCAGCAGATCAGTCGGTGCATGCGCTCGGTCGCACGAGGAGTTGTAGAAATACCCTTTGGTCCCTTTGGAACTGCTGAAGGATATCAACTGTGTTGGAACCTCATCCCTGAGTTGCATCGCATCCATGAACCGTACTATGTTTGAGGAGAACACATTTTCATTGCACTTTTTTGGGGTGGTTTGGGTTCTTCCTGCTTTTCCTTGTGGTCCAGACGGATTTCTCCCTAGCCGGGGGTATCAGCATTTTCCATGGCAATTTCTCATCATTGAACATGAATGATGAGGCACCTCCTTGGAGTTTTTAAATGAAGAGAATGAAAAAGGATGATGTGAAAAAGTTGATGGAGGGAACACAGATTGTCCATGATTCCTGTGCGGAGGCCCAAACCAGAAAAGTCTGATGTGCTTTGAGCTTATGTCATGGCAACACCGACAGTGAAACTGTGCGATCCTTCTTGAAATTTGGCGTGCACGCAGAGACTTGAGTCCTTCAGCAAAGCAGTAGCGGCGAGCCTCCTTTTATACCGGCAAACTCCATCATGGCCGATCACGAGTTCAGGGGTAGGGCGCTGCCCTCTCTCACGTGAAGACCGAGTTCCGCTTGTATAAAGGCCTCACTGTTCCCTTGCTCCTTCTCTTCATCCATGACCACAAACATGCTCGTCCTGTGGGCTCTCCCAAAAAGCCCCTAACTGCGGACTTTTGAGCTCTACCTCTACTGGCGTTTTTCGGTCCTGCTCTGCGGCGTGGGTTTCTCCTTGTGCCTGTGGCTTTAGAATTTCGGAAGGACGATGCGGATACTGATCCAGCGATCAGGTTGTAATGTTGGTGGTTCTCAGATGAAACTCAAAGACGACGTTCATTTTGACGGGATAGTACTGATCAACAACACGGCAGATGACGTGTCGACTGGAAGGAATGCCAGGAAAACGGAAAGTGGGGCAATTTAAGGAGATGATGCTGCCAAACCGCAGACAAACAGTTGGTGGCTTGTCCATGCAGGATTGTCGTTTTGCAAAAGACCGCAGTCGATCAGACCCAGAGAGTATTGCGTGGGAGTTCTATACCTTTCTGCTTTGCATAGAGCGTAGGCGCCTGCAGTACATGACGTGCAATCAGAGCAACAAGAGGAAGGTGCAAGAGATTTGTAAGTTTGTCGCGCAACCCCTAAAGCAGGGTCGAAGGGTATAAAACCACCTCTTCTCTGCCTCCATTGCACTCGTCAAGGCAGATCAGCGCAAATGACAAACCAGATAAAGGGGAGGAGAGAAGGAGCACTGTTGCCTTCTGCGCGGGTTTCTGAGTCAGATTGAACTGGAGACCGCTCGGCTCAGGGGTAAATCACTCGATCGCAATTGCTGCCTTTGCACCACCGTCATACATGCTCGCTGTTCTGTTTCATCGTATGTTCTTTCCTATTTCCATTGGAAAAGCTCAATGGCGTGCAACAGCAGAGCGCAACCTACCCTCCCGTCGGTAATGCCGGCGCCCTAAACCACGCACGCGCCCCCGCTACCATTCAACACCTCACTCAATCTTGCCATCCTTTCTCCGCCCGCGGGCCGCGGAGCGAGTACCAAATATTTGCAACACAGAGGAGCAAAAAATAGGAAAGCAGGAAACAAAAGAGCAAAAGGAGGCTAGGTCGGCCAGGACTCGAACCTGGTACTTGCCGCGGAAGGGAGTGTTTTACCCCGACACATGTTACCATTACACCACGCAACCCGTTTCGTGACTCGTTTTGTATGTTGGTATGGTAGCGGTCTTGTGCGCTTATATCCTGACATGATGATGCTGATGTTCACCATGTCGACAGACAATGAAAGAGCGACCAACCGATTGAAAGACGAGATAGAATAAATTGCGCCACACGAATCCGCCCAAACAATCTCCAGTGATTGAGAAAGAATTTCTCTTGCGCCGTTGGCTATCGGTAACGGTGTCCATTTGCGGCTCGGAATGGAACTACCTCTGAGCGAAAACTCGCTCTTGCGCGCCGATTGCTGTCCATCGTTTGAAAATCTGGGCGGAAGTTTGAGGGCCAAATGTAGAGCTGGAAGGTTTCTCGGCAGAAGATCAGATGCAATGCGATAGCCCGATATCAGCCAAAGCAGCTGACCGACAGCCGTGCTCGTTCAAGTCGACCACAAAGAAGCAGTCATCTTCACCTATTTCTTCGTTCGCCAGTTTCCCCTGGCTCAAACCATGGGCGGAGATGGAGCGCTTTGTGTCTAGGACCTCAGACCTGAGTTTTATTGTTGCTTTTGTGTTCGCGGAGGAATTCTCCTTCATGATAGGCATTGAAGAGAGTCTGTCAGTTGACTTGTCCACCATCGATACCCACTAGAAACAACTCCCTGCTTGGAGCAAACACACAGCATCACAATTGCTTCATCGATGGCGCGATCGTCGGTGATTGCATAGTTGGGTCTGCGGTTGCTCTTTTGGGACATAAAAGGTGGGTTGCGCCGCCTCTGAAGTCGTACTTTTGACAGCCATGTTTAGCAACACCTACCTGCTTTCTTGCTGACTGAGCACTTCTAATTCAACTGGCCTTTGGCATAGAATGAACCCTCCGTGTGTCGAGGGCCTCCGATCTAAGTTCCAATGATGTTTTTGCATTCGCGGGTAGAATGCCCTTTCATAACAAGTAAAGGTAGGGGGACAGGCGATTGTCAGTCGACCTGTCACAATCAACACCCAGTGATTGCAAACCACTGCTGGGAGCAATGAAGCTCAGCGTCAAATCGCTTGAACGACGATGCGGAGTGTCGGCGATTTCAGGGTGTCTCTAGTCGGAAGACCGTGGATGAAGCAGGCGAAAGTAGATAGATGGCTGATTGAGCCCGATCAAAGGCGAAGAGTAGCTGTTCGTACGGGAAGGTCAGCCTTAACGAGCCAGGACTTCGAAGCTGCGAGCTGCGGCGGCCGACTTGTTGGGTCGACGGCGGTTCAGTGGGCGTTGCGTTCTTATACAGTGATAGCTGTGTGGTCAGGCGATGGTTTGAGGACGGCGGCGGCCATGTGTTGCAGCTGGCTATGCGACGTAACACGCCAGCGAGTGGCGCCTTCCAAAGAAATGGGCGTCTTGGTCTTGTGTCTATTTCGTCATGGTCGATTGAAAGCGATTTCCAGCATCAGACCTTGTAGAATCGGGAGAAGTGACTGAGGAAGCCTCGAGTAATTTTGATGGAGCTACGACGGCGAAGGCGATGGATGGAAGATGGAGAGGCGTTGATGTTACAACATTGCTGGTCTTGATCGGATGATGCAGCCATTGGAATAATATGAGGTCATATTAAAGAGGACGTTTGACCATCAGGGACATCGTCAGACTTTTTGGAGCTGGTTCACCTACTTGTCCGCGAACCCAAGGCAGTTGTGGACAATTCAAATGGAGTTTCGCTTGTCGCAAACAGGCCTGGGACACTTGGTGGCTCGGTAATCGCAGTCAGTCATTGACGACCTTGACCGTACAACTTCAGGTGGAGCATTTGAGGAACTCACAAGGCCTTCATATAGGGAGTGATGGGAGTCGTCCGGGCATCGAGACCTTTCATGCTGTCTTTCAAGTACCCATGGTGCTGTCTTTTTGATAATGTGATGTCGAAGACAACTGTTTTGAGAAAGCCGCGAGAAATTCCAAAGATTCTCCGAGTTCGAATGACATCTTAGTACCCTCGAAATCGATTCCCATCGCAGTCAAAGTATGATCGCCGTTCTTCTATCGACTCGGGAAAAGTTCCAAAACAATGGAGCAGGAATTGAGGTGTTGACACTAGGAGCAAGAGGTTTGTAAGTAGTTGGTGTGATAAGGCCTGGATGCAGCACGAATTAGTTCGATACAGGTGGATGTTGATGGATATGTGCTGAACATGAGGACAAACAACTTCTCTTGACTCTGCAACTGATCGGCAGGGATTTTAAACATATCATCCGTCGTTCTCCAGCAACAGACAACATTGCGCTTGCTATCATGACCGATCAGTGGTCTCTTTGATCAGTAGCTGTCGGTGTGCAGGTGCCTAGGTACCTAGCTCCACAGCCACAGCCGAGCGATCCGACCAAACTGAAGCCGACCCTCAACTACCGAAGGCTTGAGGGTCATCTGCAAAGCGCACCTCAGCACTCGGCAGTTGGCATCGGAGTTAGCTAAGTCTAAAAATGGATGCCCTGTGGATCCTCAAAGTACTCCTGTGGAGATGTCAGTGTTGTTGCCATGAAAGACAAATGTTCCAACGGAGACGCGATGAATTTGCAACAACAAGAACTGAGAATGAGAGGGAGGAGGGTGTGCAGACGCGAGAGCGGAAAAGGAAAAGGGTGTGGCGGCAGGGCGGTCTGAGTGGCTGCGGTATCCCCCGCACTTGCTGCTTTGGGGTGTTGTGGGGTCGGTCGTCGCGATGCGCTGTGGCGCCCCCCACAAACAACGATACTGCAACGCAGATCACCATCATCACCGTTCAGTCGATTGCCAAATCCGACGATTGGGAGCGGCTGTCGCAGTGACAGACCCGATTCTCGTCACTGATGATTCGACCAACGACAAGCACAAGGTGCCGACAAGACCGCGTCAATCTTAGATTGCCTTCAGATCCTGTCGCAACGCAAACAGCCGCTTGCCGCCGGCGCGACAACCCTGTCCTACCTCTTGCGCTGCGGACAACTCGCGACACCGAGGCTCAACTGCCGAACAAGCTCGGATTGATGGTGGCAGGGGCGGACAGGCCTCGCATATCAGCCTTTGCACCCAATTGCCGTTTAGGTCGGCACTTGATCGTATGCTTGTGGCAGCGTCATCGCGTTTCTCCCTGGCAATCTGATCTCCTTACCGGTAACTGCCATATGCATGGCATAGCCAATGCTACAAGGGAGGTTGGAACCGAAAGTATGGGATAAGCAACGCATCGGCCGGTCGTTTGTGACGTCCGAAGGACCATTGATATAGTCCTTGGTTTACCCATCCTGTCTCTCTTCACTGACAGCGTTTCGGTTGTTGTTCAACACACTTCACCATGCTCCTCAACGAAGCTCTTTCCTTCCTAACCCGTTACTGGCCGTGGGTCCTCTTGGGCTCCTTGATCGCCAAGTTGGTCTACAATAAGTTTTACAATGGATTGCACAAATATCCGGGTCCATTTCTGGCGGCGTATACGGACTGGTGGCGTCTTTTCGATGTCTGGGGTCGCCAAACACACACGACTCACATTGAGCTGCATCGTAAATACGGCGACGTTGTCAGACTTGGCCCTGGTGTTCTGTCGTTTGCGGATCCAAAGGCTATCAAAGTGATTTACGGGTTGAACAAGGGAATGATTAAGGTAAGACTCGATCAGAATCAGAGGTAGTTGAAAGAATGTCACTGATCATGCTGTTCCTGGCAGTCTGACTTCTACCCCATCCAACAAGCAACAGCCAAAGGCCGCCGCCTCTGGTCGCTCTTTTCAACGACCGATGAAGACTGGCACGCCAAGTACCGCCGCTGCATCAACGGCTACTTCGCCATGTCGTCGCTCAAATCTTACGAGCCCCTGGTTGATTCGACTGTCGACTATTATCTCGAGCAAACGGACAAATTTTACGCTTCGACCGGCAAGCCGTGTAACTTCAACCGCTGGCTTCAGTTCTTCGCGTTTGATGTTGTTGGAGAGCTGACCTGGAGCAAGAGGCTCGGTTACCTGGAGAGGGATGAGGACATTGACAACATCGTCACTGTTCTTGGGAACTTCTTGAGTTATTGCGCCGTGGTGGGGCAACAACCCTGGCTCGACCTCCTCATCAACAAGAATCCCATCAAAATGCTGCTGCAGCGCTGGGGCATCATGGGCAAGGTCTTTCCTATTACCAAATTCGCCCTCGAGCGGCAAGCCGAGCGCGCCTCGGAAGTCGAGAAGATTAAGCAGAACGGCCTCCCCGAGTCTGCGGACAAGGGTAAGGGTGTCGATCTCCACCGCAAGTTCACTGCCTCCATTTACGAGCACCCGGAATTCATGACCGACGAAAAAGCTCTTGCCGCTTCCATCAGCATGATCTTTGCCGGCTCCGAAACGACCGGCATCAGCCTGAGCGCTGTCTTCTACTACCTCCTGAAGAACCCGCGGGTCTATCAGAAACTCATGGAAGAGTTGGACGAAGCTGTCCGAAATGGTACCATTGTCGACCGCGAAAACGGCACCGTGACATGGACCGAAGCGCAGAAGCTGCCCTACCTCGATGCTGTCATCCAAGAAAGTTTCCGCCTGCACCCCGCCGCCGGTCTCATTCTCGAGCGTGTCGTTCCACCACAGGGCATCACTGTTTGTGGAGAGTTCATCCCCGGTGGCACCATTGTCGGCTGCAACGGCTGGGTCATCCACCGGCGCCCTGAAATCTTTGGCGATGATGTAGACTCGTACAGACCTGAGAGATGGCTTGAAGCGAGTTCGGATCGGTTGCGCGATATGAAGGCGTCCATGTTCCAATTCGGCGGTGGCTCGCGAACTTGTTTGGGTAAGAACATCAGCTTGTTGGAGATGTACAAGCTCATTCCGAGTTTTCTGAGGCGGTTTGAGGTAAGTATTTGCTGTCTCTTGATGGATAACGCTGACTTGGTACTAGGTTGAGCTCGAGGATCCATCAAAGCCGTGGAAGTGTGAGAATCATTGGTTTGTCCGTCAGGTGGAGTTTAATGCCAAGTTCAAGCCGCGCAAGCTTCATGCTACTGTTTGAATAAACTGCGGGTCGAC